ATAAATACAACAATCATTTTGTGTAGTTATAAATACAACAAATTTAAGCATTATACAGGAAATTAGTCAATAAAAGAAACAATTTGCAACAATTACTAGCAAAAATTTGAAATAACTTCATAGCGGGCCATGGTGCAGTAATTAGAGTCCTTTATCAGAATTAAGAGGTCTGAAGTTCGACGTGGGCTCTGAACAGAAAAGGGACACTGTTAAGGAAAGAGGTGTTAAATTATCCATGATATTTTGTGATAAGATCCTTAGTTCTTCTTGGAGTATCAAATTAAAAAAAAAAACGTCATTGTAAGTGATTATGCATTGTTGTGAGGAATTTTTAAGTAGAAATTATTAATTTATTTTTCAGTAGACGTAAGACAGCATTTTTTTTTTGTATTTTTATTAGCTATTATGATTTTAAATAAAGTGAATTTTTACTGCAATGATCTAAAATAAACATCCCATTTATGAATCTTTTTTGACATTTAACAGATCTTTCTCTTTTTCAGTATATTTATTGACATCTGATTTGCAAGTAAATGGGCTGCCTTGTAATTTTCAACAAGCTAAAATATAATTTCTTATGGATGCTTAATGTAAAGCTTACAGTTCTTTTTTTGCTAGCCCGCTCTGTCTCAGTTGTTTCTTTCACTGGCTCTAACTGTATTTTATATTTTTAAATTTTTTAACAATGAGATACATTTCCTAAAATATTTTTAAATTACCTGAATTATGATTTTACAATGTTTAGGATATTTAAATATACTACCACGAGAAATTTTTGTAGTCAACAGTATTTTGGGAGCCAATTGCAATGAGTGCCACACTGACGCTTTATTTCAATGTTATTTGTAATTGTTTTAAAAAATTGCAATAACCTGATTAAAAACACAATACATCAGTTATTCCATTATTGTATCTTTTTCCAAACCCATAATACTTTCTTATTTTCAGTTGAAGCTAAATTTTGATAGCTAATTCTAAAAAAATTGATTGCTAAATTTTGCAAAACTATATTTCCAAGAATGATCTATCATCCAAGTTTTTTGATGCATATATAAGAACTGCTTCTATGACTACTGAGCAGTCAATCTTATTCAATGAAAATTTCCAAAATATAATTTATTGCTTGACTTGGTTAAAGATAAGCATAAAAACAACCCTGAGTAAAGGCAACTTTACATGATGAAATTTGTCAACTACTGATGATCAACCAATTATAATTAATAATTTATTTACTAGTTTGTTACTTCTTGTTACAATATTTTTGTAATTTTAATTATTTATATCTAAATTTAATTTACAAATTTAATAGCAAAGTATTTTCTAGCGAAGTGAATCAAAAGCAAACTTTTACTCTAGATAAGACTTATTTTTGTTTAAACGCAACTTTTAATCATTTTAATTCAAAGTTATCCAATCAAATTTTAAATTGCATAAGTTTTAGCATCAAGTTGGCAGACTTTACAAGCAAAGAATAACCTGCAAAGATTTCTAGTTTTTAAGTTCTTTAATAATTTTAAAAAGTTAAAAATAGAAGTAGAAAGTCAACCACAAAAAATTAACAAAAGCTGAAATGTATTTTTATCTTTTCTAAAAAAATTAGTTAAGAATATCATACATTCTACTCTTATAGTATCATACATTCTACACATATAGCCTGCCTATTTATTTTTATACTTTAAACTACCTACTTTTAAGACCTTCTATCTAAGACTTCTACTTTTAAGACCTTCTACCTTTTATTTGTATACCTTAAATTTTTCTGGAAATTGTTCAACCATAAGATCACAAACATCTTCTAATAAAACTGATTGAGAATCTAAATAAAAAAATTATTGTACTTACAGACATATTTTTATTTTATTTAATTACAGATCTGTTAAATCTATAATTAAATAAAGTAAAAATTTTAATTTGAAATCAAATGTTTCACTAATAAATTCCAAAAACCATGTTATACCATTACTTATACATTTTAAATAACAAAACAAAATAAAAAAAACTAACTTTTGTCAATGTGAATTGATTTGAACTTTACATCATTCAATAAATATTCAATTTCACTTTCCGAAAGTTCCCATTTTTTTAAATCTAAAAATTTCAAGTTAGATCTTTTTTTTAATAAAAAAATAAATATGAAAGTTATTTTTATTAAAATAATCAACAACAGCATTAAGAACATCACAAATTTAAATTGTACCGTTTAGTCTAGCATCATTAGGATGAAGATGAAGATAGATGATTAAACTCTGGTATAAGATTTTAAATTGACCACTGTTTGATTTTGGCCATTTATACTCCTGCAAATAAATGTCAGATGACACATGAGAAAAATCCTCCTTATTTAAAGGAATCCTGGTACCTTGCTTTAAGAGAACAGCTAAGGGAATCTCATTATCGTCACTATCATTACTCATTTTACCACTATTAAGTTAAAATAGTCTTCTTAAAAAATTGAAATTTAGTTACAATACTCTTCATAAAAATTTAGTAACAAATAGTCTAAATATAATAAAAATTCATTTAAAACATCAAAGTGCATTTAAAATTTTACATTTACATAAACTAAATACTTTTTCAGTAATATTATAGACAAATTGTGTTTTATATTCTGTGCTATATACATACACATTAAAAATGTATTTATTTAGTTCTACTATTTTTATCACATGTTAATGTTAAAAAGGGTTTTTTCTAGATTTTCAACCTTTTTAAAGATTCTTTGAAATTTGTTAAACTGAAGTTCTATTGACTGTACTAAACTGAAGTTTAAGCTGCTATCATTAAACTTGATTTACATACTTTTATAGTTAGAAACAAGAGGCGTAATAATAAAAATTTTAATACATTTAATGACATACTATACGTTAATGATACTATTTGACATACTATATTTAGGGTAACCAGATGCTAAACTAATATTACCCTGTATCTTAAAAATAGTACCCTGTCCTGCATCAAAAAAATGACACTTTAGGACTGGTAACTGTTCTAATTTATATTATATTTCATTATATCACGCAATAAATATTGAAATTTCTACATTGAATTAACCAGATCAGAGGATTTTAGGTTAATAAGCACAGTCAAAAAATATATTTTATTAAGACTTAACAATGCACTTTCAAGATTCAAGTACTCTAGATAGTTTAATCTGAAGTAAATGTACCAGAAATTGACCTTTTAAGAGAAAAAAGCTTTTGACTCTCAGACTGCCTTTAAGATTGTTTGCCAATTATATAGTCTTAATAATTCAAATAATTTTTCATTCTACCTTTTAGCATAATGTTAAGCAATATTTTACAAAGTTTTCATGCTTTTGTAATTACAAAACACAGAAAATACAAAAAAAATTCACACATTCTACCACAAGATTTAACTTCCTTACAAACAGAATAGTTAACAATTGGAATAACTTAACAGAGGAGATAATTAATTCTAAAAATGTGAACATCTTCAAAAACAAGTTTGATCGTTTCGAAAAAAACAAAATAAAAACATAAAACAAATAAAACAAAAAAATATATAACACTTAAAAAGAAAAAGAAAATATATCTACAGATGTTAGACTCACACATTGTATGTGTACAGCAAAAATTTATTATTATTATATTATTATTATTATTATTATTTTTTTAAAGCATGTTAGAAATTTACTGTCTTAAAATAAATTTTTTAGTATTTGATCATCCTTTGCTTTTAATTTTAATGAAATTATGAATAAGCATTTTTTTATTACTTTAATGAAATGATGAATAAGCATTTATTTATGGTATAAGGTATGACCCATGTCGACAACACATATTGACAACCATGTCGTGAACACAGCAGATTTTCCCTTGTATTTGTTCTTTTATATATACAAGATTATTATCCTTATCTGTCTACCAATAAGAAGTTCTAATTTTAACCATTGTGGCTATCTCATAGTTATCAGCCATAACTTGCACTATTTTTTCTGGAAAATGGCTCCCTTCATACTTTACAACTACAAAATCATCCTTTTTCTAAGTAATTGTATTTTTATCTGAAGAATTTTCACAACGGTCAGACTTTCACCATTGCTAAGGCTTAGCAATGGTGAAAGTCTGACCTTAGCCTGAGCTTCCTGAGCTTAGCCTAAGCTCAGGAACACAAATAGTTGAGTATAAAGCCTTTGATAGATGAGTTTATTGACTTATAGTTAGCTATGTTATGTTACATAAAGTGGTAAAAAATAACTGATAATATTAATTTGAAATCTATAAATCTTATAATTTGATAAAGCTGATAATCCCAAGCGTGTACAATACAAAACATAAAGTGTGTTTTTAGTGACTTGGCTTTCTCAGCCTATTAAATAACTTTCTCAAGGCAAAGGTTAGGGTTGAATGGAAATAACTTAAAATTAAATTCAATAGCTAGTAGTTTCAGTAACATGAGACAATTACTTATTAGCTTTTTGTAAAAAAACCTAATTACCACATATATAAGTCAGGGTTTTAATAATTTATTTTTTTTATAATTTAAAATACTTTAAATAACTGTTTATCTAACCGCGTAATTTTAATTACGGTAAATAGACGCAACGTCAATATGAATAAAAAGTTAACGGAACCGAGGAATCTTTTTTAATTAAGTAAATTAACTAAAAAAAATTAACTTTTTAATTTTCAGGAATCTTATTGTTATTATTATTTTTATTATTATTATTTTTTTTTTTTACTTATGTCTTGAACGCCTCGCTTTGCTTAATTGACTCGGTAAAAAAGCTATTGCAGACAAAAAACAATTTTGTCTTGAATTAGACAAATTGCAAGGTTTTTTTTTTTTTTTTTTTCGGTTTTTAAAAAATTCTTGCTCGCTTTATACAATTTACAAATATGTGAATAAATTGCGAATATATATAAATAAAGCTCAAATACTGTAGGTGATATAGGTAAAATAGGTACTATAAGTATACAAATATACATAATAATACAAAAATATTCACTTAATATTTACTTCCTAAATACACTCGTATTAAGCTCCAAATATATGATTATTGAGAACTTATTATATGTTCAATAATAGATAACACCTAGTTTGACGATTCTCTTAAAAATAAACCTACAATAGAAAATACAAATGTGTAATTTCAAATTAGTTGAAACAAAAAGGAATTTTTATTAAAAAAGTAAGTTGGAAAACTTATTTCTTTTAAAAAAGGAACAAAACGAAGAAATAAACGAAAATTACAGTTTTAAATCGAAACTAACTCTCTCTTAACTCTCGAAACTTAAGTTTAAAAACTTTGAAGATAACCTTATAATACTCGTAAATTATATTAAATTTAGAAACACAAACAATCAATTTCAAATAAAATTGAAAAAGATGTTTTTAAAATTAAAACCAATAATTTATGCAAAATGTCTGCAAAATATTATGGAAAACTGATAAACAAAAATATTGTAAAAACCTATAAAAAAAAAGCACCAGGTAATTTAGAAAAATCAGTTACCTTAGAACCCAACCAAACTGCCTCAAAATTAAATTTGAATAATCAAATGTAACCCATGGAATAACCATTAGCATATATTAATTTGAAAGACCACAAAGGAAATTGAAATCAAAACCAACATGTCATCTCATATACCTGGCAAAGAGCGAAATTGGAATAGGGATGGGACTTTTACTTTTTTTTTTTACTTACTCGAGTAAGTAAATTTTTTTAAAAAAGTTTATTATGTAAGTAATTGTCACCGTTCAAATTGAATTTACATTTACAAAAAAGTAATTAATTTTTATGAAAAAACTTTTACTTTGTAAAGTAAGTTTTTTTACTTTCAAAAGTAACCACACCCAATTTCACGAAATGTAACAACAGTTCGTACATAAATGTCGAAGGCTCTACGACCCTGACTCTTTTTATTTTCCTTTGGTTTTGTTTTAGGAGAGGTATATGAGGTTTTCATCCAGTAACAATTTAAACATTTGACACTAATAAAGTGTGAATACCCTCGTCGTTTTAATTTTTAGTCATGTAATATGATGTTACTACCACAATGCGGACACATCAATTCACAAAATATATTTTAAGCACTTCAAAATGTACCAACATAAAAAAGTCATTATCAAAATGATTTGTTACTGCAGATGCAGACATTTCATTACTTATATTTAATTTCATTCCACTTGAACAAGTACCAAGAACAGATGAATCATCAATATTTTTTTATTTGCCATCGTGCCATTCCCCTTTCTCTGTTTTTTTTAATTATGGAATTTTGTTTATTTGGCATTCTATTATTATTATTTAAAATCTAAAAACTATTATAATATATATTATATAAATATATATATATATATATATATATATATATATATATATATATATATATATATATATATATATATATATATATATATATATATATATATATATATATATATATATATATATATGTATATATCACATATTCATATTCTAATAAAAACATAAATACATTTAGGATGCAACAAACAAAATAGTAAACATATATATGAAGCTATATAAGTGTGACTTTCGATGTAACTTCCCCACGCGTGTTTGTAGTTTTAAAGTATACTTTTTAGAACTACTTTTGAGTAGAGAAAAGTGGATTTTTTGTCTGACAAAAAAATGAATTAAATTAACTACTTAAAGGAATTATATTAGGCCATAATCATTTTGAACGGTAACTAAGGACGTTGCAATGTGAATTTTTACAAATGGGTAGCCTAAAAAATTAAAACTATGCCCTCCCCCTGACCACATTTTTGGTCAGGGGAGGGCATTTCATTTGGACCAATAATCTACTTTCGGTCTAAGCGAAAAAATAACTTTGCTCCTTATAGCTCAAGGACCCTCGCCGTCGCTGTCCTACTTTTACAAATCCACCCTAATAACTATATTAGCTCCTATTGTATAATTTATAATGCCCCCGCCAAAAACGGCCCACATACATCTGAATAATTCCGAGTAGTATAACCCAGATGTACCAATCAACTAATGCTTTTTAATAAACTACCTAGCTTAAAAAAATGTTGTAAAATGGCTTTGTTTTTTGAAGAAGTAAATAATGTAATTTACATTTTGCTTACTTACTAAGTAAAATAAGCACTTGAAAGAAAAAACTTAACTTTTATTTTTAATAGTAAATCTTTTTTTTTTTCAAATTACTTTAATGTAAGTTGCCTTTGCAACTTACATAAATTAGTTACTTTTACACATGTAAGTAATTTATTTTTATGATGTGCTTTTATTTCACTTTTAAAAGTAAGTGTTACATTTTTCAAACATTACATTTACATAACGTTATCTCAGAAAAGAACTTTTTTACATATAAGTAAATTACTTTTTATTGTAAGTTTTGTAAGTAAAATCGAAATTACTTTTCAAAGTAAATTACTTTTTAACGACTTACTTCGTTAAAAAGTAATTTACTTTGAAAAGTAATTACTTTGAAAAAAATTACTTTGAAAGTCGTTTACTTTTTCAAGAAAAAGTAAACGACTTTCAAAGTA